CAAAACTAAATATATTTACCTAGGGATGACTGAGTTTCAACACCATGATCCAGTTTAGCTAGTTCGGTAAGGCTCGTGAGCGATCAGACTCGTACATAGATCTTGTTAACCTATCTCCTGCTCTTTTTCAAGAGTTAAAGCCATCATTCATATGCTATTCAAACGATCAAGGAAAAAGTTACCCATGCTCACTTTTCGATTTTACTCCTTCACTGAGAAAAGTCGATCTTATTGGAGAGCAACAGCAAGTTCAAGTCGGTAATACCTGTACAGTATTTTGTTTGTATACAAAATGTTCAAGGAAAAAACTGGTGTCCCTTTCAAAATCGTAGTATGTTTTAAGTTTCACAGCCTACCCTGTACATCTAATGTTTGACTTATTTTTGTGTTATAGGTGCTGATTATACTTTGTGGTTTAACGTTGCTATATTCTACGAAAACAAAGCGTCATCGAATTGCTTTGTTAATTGGAAATTCTGCACACTCTGATCTTCGTATATTGCCTAGTGTGATTAACGATGTCAGCTACTGTGACCCAATTAATTGAATTTGTACACGGAATTCATAGTGATCTTGAAAACGGTGACGATTGTACCCAAGCGTCAAAAAGAAATCCAGTATCGTCCGATTCATCTAGATTAGATTTCTACTCGATTGCAACTACTGTGTAACGACAATGGAAATCGAGTAATCGGGCGATTACCAGATTTTTTCTAGTTGCAACTAGCGATTTATCGCCCGATAATCGATCGATTTAATTATTACTAGATGCACCTGCAGACGCATCTAGTTAAAAGTCCCTTTTCCAACTAGTAATCTAGATGGCAACTAGTCGTGTATCGCCCGATTACAGACGAAATGTATCTAGATTTTTCGCATAGATGATATTTGCTTGGGTAGTAATACACTACAAACGACAATGTCGGTCAAAAAACTTTGAATAATAACTTAACACACGTTCGCCTGATCCATTCACATGCTCTAACACTTTAGAATATAGAATGGACGTCTGAGAACGCCTTTATAGCAAAAACTTTTTAACTACCCCGATGAAGCATAACTGACAATAAACGACCTATGTAATGCTTTTTAAATGTACTCTCCAAAACTGGCTTTTAACACCAAAATAGCTGGTAAGAAACTGGCAGTGAACAATCAGTTTATTGTCTGTTATATGATTGTTGGTAAAGGGCCGAGAAAAGGCGTTTAGCATACAACAAAATGTTGAAAAAACGGTAGTTAACAGTCATTGTTTACTGTCAATTTTCTGGCTGTTAAAAGCAAACTTTGCAAGTTTTTCATTAGTTTCAAAAAAACAGATAATAAGGCTTAATTAATAATTTTCAGATACTGTACGAATTTCCACCTTTTTCTAAAACACATTTTCTGGAACAGCATGCAACTCTTCAGCACATTGGCAACATGCAGAAATAATGTTCGACATTTAATGCAAAACACTTGCATCCGTTAGCTCCAACGAGTTAAAACGCTCACGATTTAGAGCTCGTTTCGACATGTTTACAAAAACTGAACGAGTTCGAAAGAATTTTGACTCGAACGTGCTGTAACAAGTTGATTTGACCGCGTTGTAACACGTTAGAATGTCATTTTGTGCTACTTTTCAGCTATTTCAACGCGTTCGATCAGCCTACACGATCAAACGGATTTTTTGATGGTAACGTGGTCACAGACATTACAGAGGTATCTAACTTGTTCCAGCATGTTTCTTAAAATTTTTTAAGCGCGTTCCAGCTATTAATCAGACCGTCTACAGACTGTTTTTCATCGTAAAAAGCCCTCAGTTCCATGGTGTAAATAGGGCTTGGGACGTTTATGGGCCAATAACGACACCGTTTCTATGAAACTAGAATCGTGCGCCACTTCTCTTATGGGGAGCAAAAGGTGAGATCAAAGAGACATTCGAAATATTACAAATGTACTTTGATATTCATATATGCAGACGTTGGCAAAACCAATCGACGATTGTAAAACAAATCGGCATCGGTGCACACATGTGCATAGCTAATACTTATAAAATCTTTTTATAAGGATATTATTCTTCTACAAAAAGTTACAACCATGCCTATACCACTTATTTGACTAGATCAGAATTATCTAATTAATATTATTTTATAAGATAGAAAACTTGTGCTTATTGCGCATATCATCTTTTAATAATATGTATTCAGTTCTGGAAGTTTGAGGACTGATGAATTATTCAGAATTTGTTCCGAGATCTTTCTAGCTCACGTAAGAGGCTATCTGTTTCGCATTTTTAAAATCCAGCGTTCAGTACTATAATTCGCATCTTTCTCGATATATAACCTGTCTATCTTATCCGTTCACCTTCTTAATTCTGCTCGGGTTTTAGGCCATTATGCTCTTTAATCTTTTACTGATTTTTCTGTATGAAATCTGTATCAAATGCACCAGGTACGATTAGTGCCAAGATTACTACTTCAGACAGGACAATCAATGCAAGAAGGGCGGAAACGCAAAAAAACACGTTGATGGTAGCGACATAGGTGGCAATCCTTATCAGTGTTACAAGTAAGAGTGACGTAGTAGGTTGTGTAAAACTGAATTTCTTTGCGAGTATAAGTGCGAATTAAATAAAGAGAGTCCATGGAATCGAATTCTGTTCTACATGATTCTAATTCTATCGATTAATCCGTAGAGGCACTATGAAAAAACTAATATCTTAATAATCTTTCGTTGAACAAAAACGATAAAATTTTCAATTATTAGGAGGATGCGCATCCTCCCATGCCCTCGCGATATTTGCGGCTCTGAGTGTAATAGCTCTTAAGAGTAAAAAGAGTAAACGTAGTACAGAATTAAAACGTGTAACAACTCAAGTAGGCATATTCAGTTATCCAGCACTATACCCTACATACGTTGCAGCTAAAAACATCTTGAGACAAACTTTATGCCTTCCCAGATCTTTCAAAAGTTTTAAAATAAAAAAATACGTACTTTTCCGAACACATACTACACAGAATTACAATGAAGCAGCGCAGTTGTCAGCATAGCACTGAAAAGATGTCGCAAGTATCTGTCATTGTAGTTCCTTAAACGCTATCGTTTCAACCTTAACTTAAAGAGTTCGTACATGGAAATAGTTTTTAAGGATCTACAGTAACATAGTCAGTGTTTCTGATGTGTTCTATTGTGCACACGATTTCACAAAGATGTACTGCCGGAGAGGTTAAGATGGCCGAGAATGGAAGCCATTTTTTTCATCCTCTCTGACACATGCACCCTCACATGAAAATAAATATAAATTCATTCAGGATATTGAGGTGGTTTTATTGTTTTTAGAAGAGAGATAAATGGAAAAGTTGAATTGATGGAAAAAGTGAAAACGATAAAATCAGTTTTACGAGAAAAGCTGTACGACACGAGCTTATCAGTTCCTAGGTTGAACAAATCGCGCAACCCGTTGCCGTATTGGTTCGTTGTTCTAAAGTATTGCAGGAGTTTAAACTTTTATTTATTGGACAGGAACTGATCACTTGCTCGTTGTGTCACTTAGCTTCACGTACTGCTAAATGGAGTATGCATGTATAATATTTAATAGGAAAAAGTAAAGAGTAAAATCTGTTTCTGTCTACCACTTATTACTGTGATGGTAGTCGGAGTATCGACTTGAAAGCGTTACTCTAGTTTGAATACTACACTATCAAACAAGATACTGCTCAACGTTGGTTGAGTAGCGTTACAAGCTGAAAGAAAGGAGGCAACATTTTTGTTAATTTGAATCTGCGAAACAATGATATGCTTTATTATCTACAGTAAAATTGATTAGGCCAACTTTTTAATGATATCTATGTATTATTATTGTTGAAGTGATCGTTTATTAAGAACATTATTTTTTGCAACCTTTAACATCGTTCTTGATAGATCAACAACTATTTTTTCAGTATTTGTTCTCAGTTGACTGGCGTTGGTACCGTTTGCTGCACAATATTTCATCCAATCAGTTTATATCACCGTCGATCGCAAACAAATATCCAATACTGATGATGAGCAAGTTCATTTTGCATGATTTGATAATTCTTTTATATAAAAAAATTGCTTATCATATGTTTTTCTCTTTTGAAATTTAACAATTATTCTTTCTATGTCTCCATTTTAGAACTTTTACTGTTTGTGATATACGTTTAATTACTCCACAAGCAATATTTTTCAACGAACATTTATTATAGAAAAACAATAAACATTAGATTGATTTGTTGTTCTTTCTTGTTTGTTATTTCCGAAGTTTCAAATTTTATTGTTGTGTTTCAAGTTTTTTTCGTGTAAACACAAAATTTATATCCTCTAGTATTTCTTAAGATGTAAGTATGATTATAGCAGTATTAAAAGAAAAACAACACGAAGAGAATTAGTAAGGCAAGCATACTAGGCTTTTCTTAAAAAGCAAATGTGAGCCGAACTGTTTAATGTGAAAGAGTAAAACATGAGAGATAAAATTTCAAAAACGGGATCAAAATTAAAATAGAATGTGATTTTTTTGACAAAAATTTCTCGCTTCGGAATGTTTATGAAAGCTGCATGAGTATCCTCTGTGATGCATGTATCATACAGAGAAAGATTTATGAATAATAGTTATATCAGATAGATATGCTCTGTGAATTACCAGTGCGATTCGAGAATTTTAAGACAGTTATAATATATTTTTTGTAATGAAATTAAACACATTTCTTTATTCAGTTATTCTTTTTTGTTCATTTTTTCGTTAATACATTAGTTCACTTTTGAGAGTTACTTTCACAAACTGTTCGGTACCGTTAAAATGGAATTGCATAAACAAATGCAACTGGAGAAGAAGCTAAATACAGGACATTATTATGGGCATTTCTTTCAAATTTTGATGTTAATTAAGGTTTGTTTGTGTCCATAACACACATTTAGCACTAGTGTATACTGAATCTTTCTCGATGATGCACTTGACTGTTAATACATTTTTTTCTTTTGATTCATTTAGTTGTTCAAATATGACATCGACATATAATGAAAATGATTATGAGCAACAACAAATGGCCAGAAAATCACCAAATGGTACTAACGACTCAACATCTTATGCTACGTACAACAACAATAACAGTAATAATAATAATAACAATGAAGAGAAGACAATAGTTGACAGAAGTTCAACAGAAGTCAATGGTTACAGTAGCGGTGACGCACATTTATCAGGATCGTCTGAATATCCGTCTTCTTCGCCTGTTCAGTATCCAACACCGTTAGTGAACGCCAATTCTTATGCGCCGTTATCTAAACCCGATGATGAGAGAAAATTATTTGTTGGTACGTAAAAGTGTGCGTATGTCATTATAAGAGATCATCACTCCATGATAAATCTTTACGCTTTAGGTGGTCTAACGTGGGATACAACGAATGAAGATTTACGTGATTACTTTCAGAATTTTGGTAAAATTACTGATATTTCTATTAAACATGATCCAGCAACGGGACGTAGTCGCGGTTTTGCCTTTCTCGTATGTTTCTATCTTTATCTTTTTTTTTCCATCAGTCTAAAAGTGCTTCTGTTTTTTTAAGATATTTGATTCAAAAGAAGTTGTTAAAAAAATTTTATCACAAAATGATCATTTTGTTAAAGGACGAAAAGTTGATCCAAAATCAGCACGTCGTCGTTTAGCACCAACATCAGCAACAAATCTCGTTAATCCATCATCTTATGATTCAATAATGACACAACCAGCAACTAATAATATGCAAAATAATATTTATAGTCAATATAACAACAATCGAAAAGTATTTATCGGTGGTTTAGATCCAAATTTTCCAGACGGTGAATTGAGAACATATTTCTCTCAGTTTGGTAAAATTGAAGAAGTACGTATTTCTGAGTTGTATGTTCTGATTATTAGTATATGTCAAGTGCAAAATAAAATCACATCTGTACGGACGTTTTAAAGATGTGTATGGATCAGGGAAAGTGAATTTAGTTTTACGGTTTACCTCAAATCTAAGTTTATATTTGATTTCATTCTCACACAGAACTGATTTTATGCATTTTTTGGTCGTTTAGTTTTCAGACTATTATAAGAGACTTATTTCCGCTTATACGATGGAAGAATAAAGCTTAAATCAAAGCACGTTATAAAATGTTCTTGGCATATTTGAGTGGCTCTTCCATTTTTTCGCTTAGATTGATTTGCCCTATGACAAAGAAAAAAACGAACGTCGACCATTTTGTTTTATATCCTTCGAAACTGAACAAGCGGCACAAGATGTACTAAGAATTCAACGACATTCTATTGGTGACATAACAGTTGATGTAAAACGAGCTAAACCCAAAACAACGACAAATCAACAACAAAATCTTTATGATGCATACCAGCAGACAGCACAACAACAGTATGCTTATGGACAACAATCAGCCTACAGTTATGGTCAGGATCCTTATGCAGCATGGAACGCCTACGCAGCCTATGAAAATAATGCATATAGTTACCCATCGGTGGGAGCTACTACATCACCATCAGCAGTCTCAAATTATCCGGGTTATTCGTATCCAACAAATGCTGGTTATCCTCCTCAAACATATGATTATTCATCCTATTATGCTTCAGCTCCGCCTCAAACGACTGGAACTTATGATCAACCAGCTTATGCTCCTCAATATGACTATTCACAATATTATGGAAATACACCGGGGCAAGACAATATGATAAATAATGATAATTCAATTTCAGATCCTAATCATTCAGATTATGATCATGATTTGAATAATCACTCATATGGAAAAGCAAAAACAACGATTGTTCAAAGTCCAACATATCATCCGTATTCAAGGAATTCATAAGGAATCCGAAAATTTCTCAACAATACTCAGCAGTAAAATAAAACATGCTTTTGATCGAGTTTTACTAAAAAAAATCATGTTATTAAAGTACTATTGTTTGTACTTCCTTTTATGATCAATAGTTTTTTGGATGTTTTTTTCTTTTTGTTGTTGTTTTTGCTTGTCTTCTCTATATGAACGTGTTATTTTATTTGTTTGAGCAGGAAAACCAGCAGAAAAACCATAGATATTTTTATATTGAATTGTCTTTAGTTTTTCTTTTTCTCACTGCCGTTCATCTTTTATGTTTAACTATTCGGTTGTGATATTGAGTGGTCTGCAATTTTTTCGAGAATGGCCAACTTTTTGGTATGTTGATGAGCTTGCTGTTTTTTTCATTTATTTTACACTTGAATGAAGTGATTCTTTTAACTAAGATAAGAAAAATCGTCGACATAGAATAATGCTCTCTTCCTTTGTTTCTGTATATTTCTATGTCGTATTTGTTTTCTGTTTTTGATTGATTCTGATGCATATGCTGGCCACTGATTAGGTTTTTGACTTTTAACAGAGCCCGGTAATGTAAATAATTTTGAACAATTTTCTGGTGGTGTGAAAATTTAACGAGAGACATCAGCGGTCACCACTGCTGCTCCTTAACTCTGTTGTTTTTTGATAATCCGTGTTTATTCATTCACGCACTCTCTCTTTCTCTCTTTCTCTCGTTGCTTTTATTGTCTTGTGATTTTGTCTGAGTTATCTAAAAAAAAATTTTTGTACGATTATTGTTCTTGTTGTTGTTATTTTGTAAACGTGAGAAATGTGTAGTTCAAGAAAAAAAGATGAAATAATAACACTATCTACAATATCTTGTTTTTTCTTCATAGAATCAATGGATATACATAATTAGTATTGCGCAATCGTTTCTTTATCTTACTAGTTGAACATCTATGCAAAGGCCGTATTTCAGCTAGTACGGATTTTACAAAGTAATCATAATCTACTACAGACATTCCTCGTAACTGCGAACGAAACCTGTTCTCATTCATAAGGCAGCCCTTTTTAAGTGTCACCTCGATTTTTTTTTGAAATTTACTTGATTATGGATAGATTCTGATATTGAACACGGATCTGACTTCCGTTCGTTTCATACAGTCTTTCAGAACCTCTGTTCACATCCAGAATTTCTAAACACGCATCATGAACTTTCCCCTGAGAAAATTCTGTTAGCAGAGTATATCATGTTATATGTGAGACACAAGTTATTGGAACTGAACTTTTAAATAAGAATGTTTTCGGGAGAACTTTACTTGAATGCGTCTCATTTAAGTGCATCTTGTTTTAGCGCGTCTTATTTGGGTTATAATTACACCATTCATTCTTGAAAATATTTTGAAACTTCTGAACCATTTCTATCATCACTGTTTGCTATTAATTTTTAGTGGCTGGTAATCTTTTTATTTTAATTTCAAAAATAATCTAGCTTACAATATTTTCGAAAAGTTTCATCGTTAATATACTCTTGTTGCAAACCGATATTTTGAAGATTACGGTATGATGTGTGATTGAAATCGAAAGGTTTATCTTACTTGAACTTTGAACTTGTAAGAAATTTTCTTCTGTGGACAACTTTCTGTATTTATCCGGAATAACAAGATTTTGTAACGTCGATGGTTCATTTTTATTTCCTTTATGTCGAGACTTTTCAAACTCGGTAATGCAGCTGCTATTTGTGGATCCGTGGTAGGGGCAACACATTTAGGAAGATTCCCAACATTTTTTGACTAGATAATATTTCCTTTTGAACTTATAGCATTTTTTGTAAAAGCCCTAAAAACTGCTAAAAACAACATGTATAGAAAACTGCATTTTGCAGCCCTCAAATTCGGTCTACGCAACAGAGCCAGAGCTCGTGCTTGCAGCATAAGTAGTCTAGGTCGAATACTACCCGTACCCAAAACCATATGTGCATTCGATATAGAGTTATATAGTTTTTTCTGACTCAAACAAGCACTCTGCGAAGGCCGAATCTATAAGTCCAAAAGGAAGTATTATCTAGTCAACAAATGTTGGAAATCTTCCTAAATGTATTGCCCCTACCACACATAGGAATCTGAGCCAAAAGTTCGAACATCGATTGAGCATCGCACAAGGAAATCGGTCGTTCTTTCCGTGCAATGACTCTTAAGAGTGTTAGGATGGACAGGACAACCAAATTCTCGACATTGACATGAGATCGATTCCTTTTGATGGAATCGTTCAATTCTATAACTAGATCCTTGAAATTCAGCTGCTGGTTTACGGCGATCAGAACAGAACTCGTATAGCAGTCACCGTTTCTTTTTACACCGTCTAATCTTCTGTTTTGAGTGTCCTGGCCATCCTAATACTCTTAGAGATTATACCAAAGCAGATTTGGGTGGAAATTCTTATTACTATGACAAAGAAGTTTAAATCTGTAAAACGCACTTCTTTTTAAAGGAACCTCACATTCGCACGGCTCAGATCCAGAAAAACTGGCTATTGAAAAAATTGTTGCTGATATGCAAAAGAATATCAGAATCAACTTCCATACGCTGCTTTTCAACCATCTAGTCAAGCTACCACTGATCCACAAATAGCAGCTGCATTACCGAGTTTGAAAAGTCTCGACATAAAGGAAATAAAAATGAACCATCGACGTTACAAAATCTTGTTATTCCGGATAAATACAGAAAGTTGTCCACAGAAGAAAATTTCTTACAAGTTCAAAGTTCAAGTAAGATAAACCTTTCGATTTCAATCACACATCATACCGTAATCTTCAAAATATCGGTTTGCAACAAGAGTATATTAACGATGAAACTTTTCGAAAATATTGTAAGCTAGATTATTTTTGAAATTAAAATAAAAAGATTACCAGCCACTAAAAATTAATAGCAAACAGTGATGATAGAAATGGTTCAGAAGTTTCAAAATATTTTCAAGAATGAATGGTGTAATTATAACCCAAATAAGACGCGCTAAAACAAGATGCACTTAAATGAGAATGTGCTCAAATGAGAACGCACCCTGATGAGACGTACTAAAATGCAGCGCACTCATCCTTCACGACATTGGAAGGATGACGCATATGCCATCCTTCCAATGTCGTGCCATGTTCAGTGTTTCTATTTAGTTCTCTGAAGCAAAATATTTGTGGCTGATTACTTTAAACCAGAAATATAGCTCTTAATTCAAGTAATGATATTTGTTTTAGATAAGCATATATTGTTTTGTTCAAAATCGGTTCAGTTTATCTCAAAAATATAATACAGGTGAGCAATATTCTTCAACTTCTCAGCGGAAAAAAATTTACGTCATAGCTCGTCTTGTTCGGCCTGTAACCATCGTGACTCTTTGACAGATATATAGTTCATCATTCTTGATACCTCTAAGAATTTTAGCAGTCAATCTACTAGATTGTTTGTATTTTTAGTGACCTTCTTATGTCTGCAGTGGCCTATGCGAGTGCCAGTGGTGTTTCAAACCAATCTATTACTAACAATACAGCGTTAATTCATCCTTATCTAAATTCGCCGCTTTATGCTTCCTCAATAACGAATCACCATAATTATTATCCACAACAACAGCCACTACAACATCAACCACCGTTACCATTTTATCCCACTCCAGCTGACTATTCATCATCTACCTCTTCCGTGTCATCAACAGCATCATCAATCGATTCACAACGAAAATATAAGAAAAAACAACAACAAATTGTCGAAAATAAACCTAAAACTTCCATGAAACGAAAATCAACAGGTACATTAGATGACGAAGAAGATGATGATCTTCTCGACAATAATTGTTGTCTCGATATTCCAACACTATCTCGTCGTTCAACAGCAATAACTGGTGGGATGAGCGGTGGTACGAGTAGCGGGGGTGGCGGCGGCGGAGAAGAAGATAAAGAAAAGCAAGCGAGAGAAAACCACTGTGAAATTGAACGGCGTCGTCGAGTTAAAATGGCCACATATTTTGCTGAATTATGTGACATGGTACCGTCATGTTCAAATTTAGCACGCAAACCAGATAAATTAACAATTTTAAGAATGGCCGCACAATTTATGAAGTCGTTACGTACAAATTCACCAAGTACAATTCAATCACTTCATCCTCAACATCATCTAAATAATGGACAACAACACGATTTACATAAACCATCGTTTTTAAATGATCAAGAATTAAAATATTTAATGATTGAATCGTGTGATGTAAGTATAACTTTCAAATAATTCTATAATCTTTAAACAAAATGAGTTTTTAAACTTTCAGGCATTTTTATTTGCATTACATTGTGACAATGCACGTATTATTTATGTTAGTGATGCTATACAATATATTTTATCGTATACATGTCAAGAATGGTATACACGTTTATTTTATGATTTTATTCATCCAGATGATATTGAAAAAGTACGAGAACAGTTAAATTTACAACAACAAAATGATACAACAAATGGAAATTCTAGTGGTGGTGGAAGAGTATTGGATTTAAAAACAGGCACGGTTAAAAAAGACATACATTCGACTGGAGCACGATTAGGTATAGTATTTTGATTAATATTATTCTATAAACTAAACTATTCTATTGTTTCGATTAATGAAGAAATAGAAAAAATGTCTCCCTTGCAGTTAGTTGTTCCAACCTGATATGTGAAAGTCAATTTTTTATTTTTAGTTAGTTGCAAACGTTCATTTATTTGTCGTCTTCGTCTTGGTGGTAGCAATTCAGTTGATCCTCATCAAGCATCTTACGTCATTAATCCATGCATATTACGACGACGCCATCGTCCATCATTAGGACCATCACAAGATGGCCATTTATATGAAGTTGTTCATGTTAGTGGTTACATAAGAAATTTAAATGGCGAAAGCAATTCAACATCGTTATCTTCTTCTACATCAACTGGAAATTCTGGTTTTCCAGCCTTTGTAGCTATTGCTCGTATTCAAAATTCATGTTCACCAAATATAAATGATTTAAATTCAACAAGTAACTGTAATTTACATACCGAATTTACATGCCGTTGTAATCGTGAGACAGCTGAAATATTATTTATTGATCAACGTTGTCAACAAATAATTGGTTATAAACCTCATGAATTATTGCACAAATGTATATTTGAATTAATACATCTAGATGATCGTTCAAAAATACAAGATTTATTTAAACGAGCTATTGCATTAAAAAATGTCCCAACACCCACATCTGCGGCAACATCAACAATTTCATGTCGAGTTCAATTATCGCCAGTTGTAAATACGGCAGATCCATCAAACAGTGATTATATCGTTTTAAAATGTTCAACTTATGCATTTTGTAATCCGTGTACAGATGAAATTGAATTTGTTATATTCACTTTTACATCAAATAAACCGCTACTATCCTTACCATCCACAACAACGACTTCGGCTATTGCTACGTCTGTAATTGCTAATCCATTGAATATTTTATCAAATGGTAGTAGTAGTGAACCCCAAACACCGTATTCAACAACAAATTATGATTCATATTCATCGACTAGGACTGGTCGAGGAGCAATTGTTGTTAATCCGACACGATGGACGACAACAGCTACACCATCTTCTGATGGTTATAATGATGTAACTTACAATAATCGTACATACGCAAGTAACAATGGTGGTGGAATGTGGGCAGACACAACCAGTTGGACAAATACAACACCCAGTGATACAACAGAGCTTGATATGATGCGTACACATTATGAGACACAAACAAATGTGGGAACAAATAACGTTGTTGTTACATCAAATACATCTGACTATGATGTGAATGCATTACCAATGATGTATCAGCCATATGAGCAAGTTTAACGTCATTTCGTATTTAACTGGTAGTCGTTGCACGTGTTAGTGTAACTTTATTTATTTTCAATGTTTATTAATTAAAGACAATCTTGTTTCTTTTTTTAATCTTTTTTTGCATGTTTGCGCACTTTTTGTTTCTGGAAACGCTTTTGCGTCATTTTCATTTTGTAAATAGATTTGTTTCTTTTTCTTGCTCTGTTTTTTTCTTCTCTACTCGTTGTACGTAATGTATCAAAACCAAGAGAATTTTTAAATGAAGAAAAATGGTCGTTGTTCAGATAAGCCGAATTTTTTTATTTTCAGTCTGCATGTAATTTTACTTAACCCTCATCATTATCATAAGATGAAGTAGTTAGTTTTTTGAATTTTGTATAAACTTATTTTTTCGTATTTATATTGAAATCCAAATAATCAAATGAACAAATCTACTTTTACTAGTTTGCTCGTTTACAATACGCAAAAAAANTTTTGAATTTTGTATAAACTTATTTTTTCGTATTTATATTGAAATCCAAATAATCAAATGAACAAATCTACTTTTACTAGTTTGCTCGTTTACAATACGCAAAAAAACGTTTGCAATATTGTTGTCTATTATTATTTTTGTTTGTTTTGTTAAAATATTAATCAAAGTTACTTTTTGTTTCTATAAGCATGCGTTAATTTTTCTTCTCTCTCTCTCTCTCTTTTTTAGTCAGTTGTCAGTCATTTTTTTTGTATGAATGTGTATCTCACTCATTTTATTGTATGTGTGTGTTACTATGTTCTTTTTTTAGAATATTGGTGGTTATTTGGCTTTTCATTCTTTTATGTATATCTATCTCAGTTATATGCATCCTATAATAAAAAATATACTCGAAACTTACACCTATACACTATTACTAAGAACAAATAGCACTTAATGGAATGAATAAATCTCACTGAAGATCATTTTTCTCCTGGCGCCAATCTTTTCTCTTATTACCCACATATTTTGGTGTAGCAATGACGGTATGGTTCCGAAACGACTTGCTTCTTTTATCACGATCATGTAGTTACAGATCGAGATTGTTCCTTTATTCTACTTCCAGATTTTTTTCATTTCGTCTTGATTATGTTTTTAATGGTCGCTATATTCACGGCATTGATCGAGACACAGTATTTGTCTGTCTCGATTACTGCACTGAAAATTCATCAGATGCATTTATATTCGATAGTAGGTATCTGATTTGATTATCATTCTTCTGACGTAAACATGTATACACAGCCTATTTTATCTTACAGTTTGAAGGAGTGACAATGTTGATTTTTATAATTGTTCAACTATTCATTCGTGGCTTGATGGATATCTATTTGAGAGAAAATGATAGGTTTGATGAGCTTCAAAGGTTAGTCTAATTTTATACTAAAATATATGAAAATTCTATAATTGTAACTAATACTAATGCGAAGAGTTTAATATTAAGTTCATACATCGCAATCGTTCTTCTCTTCTATTGAACTAAATAAAATAAAAACGTTTGGCACATCACTTAACTGTGTCTGTATAATTTGTAATATTTTTATTCTTTGTTGCTCTGTTATCTTCTTTCTACTAGGTATGTCTAAGTAAGGGTGAAAAACTAAAATGCCGAAAGTTAAAACGGCGAAAGTAAAAATGGCGAAAATAGAAATAAAAGGTAACGGAAACTGTAAATCAGTAAGTCGAATAAGATCTTTTGTCACAAAATTTGCCGGATGGTTAACGAAGATAATAATGCTTTTTAGTTCATTCATTTCCACTTAAGTTAGTGTATATTCTAGCTTCTCTAGTTTGATGCCTTTATTCTAAGTTTATGTTCCTGAAGGATTAACCGACGTTTGAGCGACCGACATTTGAGCGACCTGCATTTGAGCGACCGTATTGAAGGACTCCAACAATTGACCGAAGCGCATCACTTATAGCTGCTTACCCTCACCCCTCACCCCACACAGCCTCACCCTCTACAGATCTCCAAATAATTTAGTTCATAATCGGACGACAAAAAGATTGTTCTCATCATCGTTATTAATCGTTATCGAAGTGAATAATCATTCGACTTTCCTGATCGGCAGAAAGTCATATTGAAAAGTGTCTAATGTCCGAGTCGCTCAAATGTCGGTTGACGGTCTGAAGTGATCAAACTACTGCACTTTCTAAATAATGCTTCTCATCCTCACCTCACACATATCATAACATTCGAGGCTTCTTAATTCAGATCACTTTTTTGATAAAATGTGTAACATAAAAATTAACATCAAAGAAACATTACAGGGCACAGTGGGCATTCAGGCGGAAATTTGAGCAAAAATCGATAAGTGAGCTTTTTTGAATTCGAAGAGCAGTAAATGTAGTCCTTGAAAAGCGCTATCGAGTGGTAGTAGTCTAGATCACTACGGTCCGACATGAGACAGCCTCAGTGCAGTGACAGCGCTAAAAAGCGCTAAGCCTGAACAGAACTTCTAATTATATGAAAATGTTCCTCAGCCTATCGTGTATTTATGATGATCTCGTCTTTTATCGTCGAGTTATTGATTTTACAAAAACCCATAGGGTTTTCGAGGTAATTCGCCCTTTTCTCCCCCATAAGGGCACTTTTTCCATAACATAAAGTCATATTCGGAATCACCGTGAAAAACTACGTCGAATGATATATAGCTTTTTAATTTTTCTGCAGAAATATTTTCGGTCAAACTGAATTGTACAGTTGAAAGCCTGTCCGCAGCAAACTTTGCTTAGGAAGTTCGATATTTATTTTAGCAATAGTACGCAAGTGTATAAACACATTTTTTATAGGCTTTCGAATATGATCTCTCCAATAGTGAGGTTTTCGAAATGTAAAAATATTTTTTATGGGTTTTCCAGAGATCCGGTCTCTAGAAAATCTACAAGGAATTACTTCTGAGCTCTGAAAATCTCATCATTAGAAAGAGCATATTCGAAAACCAATAGAAAAACATGTTTAAAGGCTTTCATACCAGTTCTACAGCATATGTCCGCCTGCTCTATAGAAAAATGCTCACTGTGCAGAGCGGGAAGCGCAAAATGAGAGTGAATGGAAAATAGTGATCTCAATTAAAAATGAGCTGTGTGAAGTGAAGGTGAGCAGCATTATTTAGGAAAGTGCAGTAGTTTGATCACTTCAGACACATAAACTTAGAATAAAGAGCATCAAACTAGAGAAGCTGAAATATATACTAACTAACCACGTACAACAATTCTTATTCCAGGTCAATGATAGCGAGATCGGGTTCTTTTTGTTTTGCAGTAAACACCTATGCTTAGAAGTTGACAGAGCCCGATTTTTGCATTTCTCATTTACTGATTTCTGGTGCTTGATAGAACTTGGAAGTCCGAAAAATTTATGTTCGGAAGGTTTTTAGAAATCCTCGTTTCTACAAAAAATGAAAGCATAATTTGAAACTCGGACTCTGTCAACTCCTAGCTTTAGGTGTTATCTATAGATCAAAAAAAAAATTTGTTTCTTCGATGTATCGTTACCGAGAATTTCTGTGCATGGTGAAAGCCCTAAAACTAAGTTAATATTTTGCTAGAGGTTATTGGCGGATCTAATGAATACATGCGCGACCACGTGCGGCACATGCGTGCGCTTATGCAATACAAGCGGCTTAAGTGGAAATGAATGAACTAAAAAGCATTATTATCTTCGTTAACCATCCGGCAAATTTTGTGACAAAAGATCTTATTCGACTTACTGATTTACAGTTTCCGTTACCTTTTATTTCTATTTTCACCATTTCTATTTTCGCCATTTTTACTACTAACTTTCGGCGTTTTAGCTTTTCGACCTTACTCAGGTAATTTTTTCTCGTGCATTCAGGTATTGCTTTATACGTACGCGATGCACTAATCCGTCTTTCTTTATAATTCAAGTGTAAAAATCTACAGAATCTATATAGACAGTATAAATAATAGTATTTGACGATAACACCTTGCTTTTTTATTACAGGTGAGCATCATTCAGTTGCTACAAGAGTAGTAAAGAAGTGATAGAACGATACGCAATAGTAGTAATATACTAGAACTAACAAAGAACAGTGCCTGATTTATAAGGGATAATAACTTTTAGGTAGGTATTATTCTCTCACATCGGTATTCTTCTCACTTGTAATTTTTGCGTGTGATTCGTAGATCTGCTAATACTCTAAGAAAATAGATATATAAGAATTGAGCTAACTGGTAATTTAGGAGAATTCTTGGAGATCTCAAAGAGCAAAAGGGTTAATCGTTTTTATTGTATATGTAATATTAGGCATCTAACAGATAAGAAGATATCTCTTTTTGTGCACATTCTTGGATTTCTTCACTAAGTGTGTCAAGTGCTTTTGTTCAGTTTTCGCAGCAAAGCGAAAGATATATGATCAGGGATCCCAGATCCAAAATACGAAAATCAGAAAATAAAAGTTCAAACTTAGAAAAAACTGAGAAAAAGAAGTAGAAAATCAGTAGACCTTAGGGCAAAAAAGAGCAGAAACGAGGCAGAAAAAGTTCCAAAAATCAGAATTTTTCTGCCAAAATCAGAAGATCTGGGAAAAAAGATCTATCAGAACTTCAAATAATAGATGGATGCAGCACAAATGTTTACATAAATTAATTTAACTTGTTAATACTTTTCTACTTTTTAACTAGAGGACTCAAATTAGACTTTTGATAACGTTATCAGTATTGAAGGGCAATAAAAGAAGGCAAAGAATACCGCAATTACGGCTTACTGGCCGATACGTCTAGTTACAGCCGCAGTAAAGTTTTTTGGTTTTTTATTCGTAAACATTTTTTTCCACTTGGTAAATTAGAAATCCATGTTTTTTCTAATGAAATCGCTTTGTCTAGTAGTCTGAATTCAGATTTGTACTTCAAAACTGTACACTAAACATTCAGAAGACATTTAAAAGTATTCGTAAGTATGTGAAAATTAGGAGACTAAACAACATATTTTAGTAGATTTTCGATTCAATTGAGGATTTTATCAATTATTAATCCATATTTTATTGACTTGTGAAAGATTTTGAAATTTTAATTAAAGTTAGATAATGAGACGACAAGTGATAAAGTAAATTGTTTAGTAAGGACAAAAGCTAAAACGTAAAGTCATTACTATTCATTAATCAGATGATCTTTTTTTCAAGTATACAGTATAGGCTAAAATATTAAAATGAACCATGTTGAAAGGTGATCTTTTTCGTCGTCGTCGTCGTTGTCGTCTTGTTCGTTGGTTACGTCTTTCATCTTTGTTTCGATCTTATCCCATTTTGTTAGCTGTTATTGTATCATTCAGCGTATTCATTTATTTACAATTTTTACTAATAAATTACATTTTTTACTATAATTTTTCAAAATCGAATAAAACTCGTTTGTATCCTGATAGACCATTGACTCTAAATGTTCATTCGTTTAACGTTTGTCATCCAACACAACTAAATATTGAAAAACTCAATCGATATTATCATAAGACATTTGAAAGAGAACAACAACAACAACAACAATGTATTCTCATTGAGAATTTAAATGGTGGACAATGGTGGCACTATGTTAGTCATGAATTTGCTGAAATTCTAACACATCTATATTCAATTGGTAATCAATCAAATATTATCTATCGTCCATTACCAAAATATTCTAGAATAGTATTAAGTACTAATTTCACCCAATGGTTCATGACTGCATGTGGTGGTGATCAACTACCACTTGTTGTCGTTTTATGGGATGTCAATTTTAAAGTATGGTTAACTATGAAACGTCAATGGCATGACATAACGAGAAAAATCTCCTTCATTTTATTTATCGATGATCTTCATTATATATCAGATGAAATGTATCAAAATAGACAATTTATCTTGGACAACGTACAAGAGATATTATCCACCTATGCGTATTCAATACATAATTATTATTTAAACATAAGTTTATCAAAACTAACGTGGTTTCCACATTCAGCATCATCGTTAGTGCTACATCAAACAAAATCAGCAATTAATGTAACCGCGCAGAAAATGATGTTCGTCAGCGGTGCTAATATGCAGCCATGGTATCCATGTCGATTTAGAGCATTTCAATTATGTATGCGCAAAAATTTAGTTGCATGTTTAAGACATCCTGGCTATGGTTTATTGGCAAATCATAGTCGCAGTGCGCACGGTGAACGATATTCTGATTATATGAAAAAATACGTGTTTGGTTTAGGTACATGTCAATCTGTACATTATGCAGTTGCAAAATTATTTGAAATACCATCAAATGGTTTAGTATTAATAACGACAAAAGATATGGAACAAATATTACAACAATTAGGTTTAATAAAAAATGAACACTATTTAACAATCAATTGTACAGATTTACCTATTTTAATTAATGAAATTAAACATATTCAAACAATTCCCGATGATGAACTTTTGACTATTCGGCAAAATGGACAACAAGTTGTTCATGAACGTCATTTGACAATACATCGTGCACAATTATTACACGTTAGAATTGTAGCGCATGCACTATTAGCTTATAGAAAACAAAAGCGACAATTATCTTCTAGGGAGTCAAATGATGAAGAATTTGAATCATCATCTGAGTTTGATGATCAAGATTTATGGGAATGGGGCAGAAATTGTTAATAGTAAATAATGATTATTTCTCTTGAATATATTAAAATTGATTCCACTGTTATCTGTTGAGAATACATTAAATGTGAATAATGATTGTCTGGGAAAATCAAGTTTTATTTAAGCAATAGAGCAGTTTTCAACTCAGACTAAAATCATCGTCAACTAGATACAGAAAAGTGTAAAAGAAACGACTATATTTATGTGGTGGAATATCGTTGTACAATCACTGTAACATTACCTCGACTAAGGTCTTAAACGTTGCAAGCAGAAGAAAATAATCCATATGTCACCGTCAGCTGCAAAAAATATTGCAAATAAAATCAACATATTATTGTGAAATTCTTCAAACTTGCTTGGTATGTAACTTGGATCTATTCTCTTCCTCTATTAGTATACTATTTTTATAACTGTACAGTCGATTTAAACGAAGTTTTTCATCCTGTTTTCTTTCGAAAAAAACTATATTTCATGTAAAATGTGATCTAAACATAAGTGGTATACGTATTTCGATTGGTTTTTGATCATGCTGAATCCGGTTAGGACGCATATGCTGCGCAGATATTTGCCTGTACGGACATTTTTTGCTAAAAAATAGCACTGGTTTGCCTATTCTTTTTAATCAACAACGTTTTCATGTATAATTGAAAGTTCAATGACAAAAACAAGCATGGAAATTGAAGTAACAATTAATACTAATTTTAAACAGTATATTAAAGAAAGATTAATATACATACGTTTGTGAAGACGAATTATTATGATAATCATGATAACAAAATAATAACAAATTTATAAAATTAAACAAATCTAAAGGTATCACTCGTATTTTATTTAGATATTTGGAGAAAATCTATCGTGTCGACAATTTCTCCGTGGTCTTTCTTCTGGTATACACTTTGGAAGATATTTTCACGGAAAAAGCTGGACAACAAGATAAGTCAACATGAAATATGAAAATAAATAGATCAAAATATTCAAAATAAAAAACATCAAAAGTTCAAAGCTAACTTTTCACATCGAAAACTGACTCTTTAAAACCTGCCACAAGCCTCATCTTTTTCCGGAATCCAAAAAAGTTTAGAGAGGTTCTGACGAAAGATCCTTGTTCGTCAAAGTTTGAGTTTTTGATTAGTTACATTAACATGGTGTACAATAAGGTTTTATTCATAAAATTATATTGAATGTGGTTATATTGAATGATGATTATATCAAAGTGATTATCCGATCAATCTAGATGAAATGAAAATTGAGAATGAGATAACCTTGTAGTAAAAATTTCTTCATATCACTCACTTGTTATAAGACGACCGCTGCGATAAAAAATATCCAGTCAACATACATCAAAGTCGGCCACATTTTCGTTCGCAACTTCGTTCAACAATATCAGGCGAAAGAATCACAGCAATAATGTAGCAGCTGTAGTATTTTTTTCTGCTTGCAATGTTTAAGATCTTAGTCAAGGTAATGTTATCGTGGTTGTACAACAATATTCCACCACATAAATATAGTCGTGTTTTCTTTTACACTTTTCTGTGTCAAGTTAAAGATGACTTTAGTCTGAGTTGAAAAACTGCTCTATTGCTTAAATAAAACGTGATTTTAACAAGCATAGCGTCTCAGACAATTCTCAGTCAACGAGCGTGCATAAGTCTGAAAGAATATTTGTTTCAGATCGCTCTAAACCATTCATCACTAGAATACACACTTATTCCTCCTTTCAATCTGATACAGTTAAGACGTGTCTCTTTATTTCTACATACATATGACGTATACATTGACTTTTTTTCTTTGGTCACATTTTAAAACATGACTAGTTTATTTATCACGAATGCAACGGGTATGGCCGCCCAACAAGGCCACCGTACGTTTACAATGTACTCAAACGCCTTATGTTCTCAAAATCGTGAGGCTCTTACTGGACAACTGACACAGAATTCGACTTCAAGTAATGGTTATTATTCATGTGAACAGCCGATGTCAAATCAAATGTGTTTCTTCACAACCATTGTAACAGCCTCCTTAACAAAATCAGCATTATCCGGCACCACTACTAATGTCGTCTAATTCACAAATGAATTTGAATCAACAAAATCATTCGATCTCATCGTATTTTGTTCTCTATCAACAACATCAAATTCTGTTAAATAATAGTTGTCACGGTCAACATCCATCTCCGTCGAATATATCTCATATGATGTCAAATAATCAAACATATGGTCAATCATTGCAAGTTACAAATAATAAACAATTTTGGGTGAGTCAAAAATCATAGAAAACATAACAACAGCGGAAATATCCTGTTGAACCTTCATCCTGTCTACAAATAACAACTTCTGTTTCAATACAAGAACTACAGAAGTATAACCAGAATATGGACTATGATGATGGTTTCACTGGAGTCAGTCATACAAAAGAGAAAACAAAGACTATGTACAATGAGAGTAAGACATCTTCTCTATCGATATCGGATTCTACTTCTTCTACGAATACACATAACAGATTCTGTAACGACAGATCACAACTTAAAGCGAGTTCATATAACAAATCGTTTTACTATAAACAATTCTTTTTCTACTATTAACGGTCCAAATCATATTGTCGGTGGTATCAATCAACAAACACGTCGTTTTGCAGAAGGATGTTAAAAGTATTAAGCAACAATAAACCATACAAAATACGGTAATTGATCATAAACATTTATTTGAAGTTCACTAGATGAATTTATCATTACTGCAAGATTTTGTCAATATTCATGTTATTCCAGTATGTCTTGTTATTGCTCATATGGTTCCAGTATTAGTTGAGAAACAAATAATTGATGATGAAATAGTGTTAAATCACTCGTCAACGGCCATTTGTATTGGAAATTGGCTCTATAGAGTATAGTTTTATTCAAAAAATCTTCCCCAATTTCAAATTGTTTTATCAAAAGGCAAACATAGCTGGGGTGGTGTTTCTTTGTTTTTCATGAATGTATTCCCTGTAAATGCGTGAAATGTGATATGTGATATCCCAAATGTATGTGTGGTAGATGTGAAGTTAGAACAAAACATTCGTATCATAGGGGTTCACGCGCCTAAAGTAAAATGTGGAAATGGGACGATCTTACTCGGTTCTCTACAGATGCATTTTGTTTTTTTTGCGATTTTAATATTGACTTCGATGCTAAGGCGAATGAGCTACTATCAAAAGATCTACTTTCATGGACCGACTCTTGCTTTTCAGCCCCGGTAGTTTCCAAATTGCCGACAACGCGTCATTCCAACCGTACCATTGATTACGCTTTTGTTAGTGGTACCCCACTTTCCCTTTATACTTATGAGATAAATACTACGAATGATCATAAATCGGTTATTGAGTGATCAGCTGTGACAGAAAAGAAATGTTTCTCTGCATGTAAGAATTAAAGGGCCAAGAAAAAGTAATACAAAAGAATTATGCCCCTTTCTCCTAATCGGCTGATTACATCAATAGATGAGAGATTTTTTTCTATGTCCTTCTTCTGTAGCTTTTTGGTCTAAGACAAGAAAAAATTTTAAAGTAGCTAGTTCTTTAAATGCATTCATTGATAATCAGGCGATAGTTAGTGATACTGACCAAATGTTAGAAATGGCAGCCAGCTATTACGAGAACCTCTTCAAGAACTGAAGTGTACCGTCCTCATCCGTATGTGGATATCCCTGAGATTAAGAAGGTATGTTTAAATTTCCGAAAAAAGCCAATTTCCGAAATTACCATAATTTACTATTCACAATACAGATTCATCCATAAACCAAATACAGAAAATTACAAAATTACCTAGATTCACTAATACGTCTAAACTAAATTTCCTAGAAATTTCGGTAATTACCCACTAACAAAAAAAGAAAATCTCTCAGTAATTTCCGAAATTGTAAACATTTTCAAAAGTAATTACCAAGCACTTACTACCAACGTAAAAAATTACGGAAATACTCGAAATCTCCATCAAGCAAAAGAAATTTTCGTAAACTTCCAAAGTCCATTACGGTAATTACCCATACTTTCTGTAGTAAAGTAAACGATACCGACACGGTAATTACTACGAAATTACTGAAACTTCTTATTTATCAGATATCTATTAGAATACGGACCCCTATCTCGGAAAATAAGAGAAGTTATAGAAATTACCGTAATTTCGAAGCGATTTTACTAGTTACTAGGAAATTATTAAAATTCTACATTGATAGATATAGATATGCAAATAAATATGTGAGAGGAGGATCCCTACCCCCAAAAGTTTGTGAATTTTAAGAAATTTCAGTAATTTCCACGTAATTTTGCTAATTACTGAGAAATTACTGGAATTTCTATTAACTAGTATATGGAGATATTCATTACAATTGGGACCCCTATCTCCGACAACAGGAGAATTTTTTGAAATTTCGGTAATTTCGAGGAGACTTTGGTAATTACTGGGATATTACTGCAATTTCCATTATTTATCAGGTAGAGATATCCATTAAAATTGGGACCCTATCTCCGACAACACGAGAATTTATAGAAATTTCGGTAGTTTCGATGGATATCTCTATCTAATAAATAATAGATATTTCAGAAATTTCCCCGTAATTACCAAAATTTCCTCGAAATTACCGAAATTTCTAAAAATTCTCTTATTTTCCAAAATAGGGTGTCTATTCTAATGGATATGTCTGTCTAATAATTAATAGAAATTTCAGTAATTTCCCCGTAATTACCGTATCGGTATCGTTTAGTTTACAGAAAGTGTGGGAAATTTCGGGTAATTACCGTAATAGACTTTGGAAGTTTACGGAAATTTCTTTTGCGTGATGGAGTATTTTCTGAATGTGTATGGAAAATTCTTGCTGATGTTGTGGTAATTTTTGGAAGTTTCCTTTTATTTGCTGCTTCGAGTATTTTGCGCAATCTTGTAATGTTTTACTTTGGTAGTGAGTTCTTAGTAATTAGTTTTGAAAATGTTTGCAATTTCGGAAATTACTGAGAAATTTTCTTTTTCGTTAGTTAAGTAA